GCGGTTCCACTCCGCAAGTTCGATCGTTTCGTTCGAGTGTGGTTAGTAAACGAGCTCAAATACCGCATAAAAATACCCGTCAAGCGTCTGGCTAAAGTGTTATCTGTACGAGGTTTTACATAGTAGTGAACATGACCTGCTGAGCTGAGTACTACTCATTCGGATTAGGGTCTACCTTCACGATAGTCGCTCCAACAGGTAAGATTCACATGGACACCGAGAACAACCGGTTCTCCTTCTTTACAGTGTATCAAATCCTCCAAATTTCAAAGTTATGGGTTTCGAATTCCGATGGGCTACCGCATATTGGATTAAATTATGCTGGTTGAGAATTCGAAAGAAGCTCAATGGATCTAGTCAACCTACTACTTCATTTGAATGTGTAGCAACCCATTCATCCACATACTTAACTGTTCACCTCACAATAGCTCACTGGATCACGAGACTTGTCTTTTTTTATACTCACAAGCCACGTCACTTTAAGTGACTCATAGGACATCGATTGTCTGTACCCCCTAGTGAGCGTAACAACTCATTTGCTGACACACCCACGTACACGCGAACGCACCTACATATAGGGAAACCGAACACAGTCAGCACACAGAGTCGCGCACGCGCAGGGAGCAGGAAGGCAACCACTCTCCTCAAGTCCACAGACAATTATGGAACAAGTGTAGCAACCATACTGCGGAAAAGACACGTCCCGCGTCCGAACTTTCGCCAAGGAACTCTCACAGACGATAAGTTCCTTTCTTGACTTGCCCCTATTTTGCATTGTATTTATTTTTATACGTGTTGCAACCCACCACTGTCAACCATACTGAAAACTTTTAATATTGGCATACTAACCATACTAAAAACTTTTATTATTGCATTTACCTTCTGATTTTGTTACGACCATCATCAGCAGTGCACTAATAAATGACAGCGAAGCTTATCGGACAGCTGAAATAGAAGAGACTGACGAAAAGAGAAACATGTGAAATCAACTGCGAAGATGACGATTACCTAGCTGAGGAGGTCAAGGTCCAGAGATGGTTGGACTTCGAACTATCAAAGCACCAATGAATGAGTCAGCCAATAGGATTGATCAATCAAATAACCAATCAACATCGTTTCAGAAGAGGTTGGTAAACAATCGATAGTTTTTAAATGGCCAAAGTTTTGATTTTGACACAGAAGCTTCATCCGGCTTAGTGAGCAGGTCACCAACTGATTAGAATTGATTGATTGGAGACATTGATTGAAAACATCTGAAGTCCACCGGCGTCAACAACTCTTAAAAACTCAAGCTCAGTGCTTCCACTCTTAAGTACCACTGGTACACCGAACATTGACACCAGTATCTTGACTAGTTGAAGTTTATCCAAGTTAATCTCATTAACTGCTGCAGTTCTGGGATCAATACGTCGAAAATGCAAACGGTTTTGTTGCTGTAGCGGTCAATTGGGTGATTTTTTACATCCGGCTGTTTACCTGCTCTCACCTTGACATCACCTTCATATGCCATTCGAGAATCAAGAACAAATAACTGCAGACAGAAACTGTTTTTCCGGATATTTTAAAGCATTATCGGTCATTTTGGCCTAGACTCACTTGGATAGCTTCAAAAGAGTTTTCTAGGAAAATTGATTAAGTTAACTCTACAAATGTGACAGATTGAATGGCCTGGCAGTCAAGATTGTGGCCCCATATTTTCAGCTCAATTCAGTTGATTCTACAACAAAATACTGCCACAAAAACCGAGTTACATTGAATATCCAAGAAGAATCCTGTAAAGGTTTCTGTTTGGTCGTGATCGGTAGAGAACTAAATATACCGTTCAACTGTTGAAGTCTTGAGAATAGGTAAAAAACCGTTCAGCTGTAGCAACTTTTCGGTGCCCAACCGCCAGGTCACCCGAGGGAAGCATGAGGGCTGAGATACTGCCAGTTTGCCCACACCTAGACAGAAGAAGCCGAGATGCGTAGGTCGCGTTCGAACCATGGACCTTCCGGTCAGTAAATTCGCGCTCTAACCACTTGAGCAATCTCGCCTCCATGAGGATTAGTATCCTAGAATGTATGCAATTACTGTTTCTCCATTCAATGAGCAAGTTTAATGATGTCTTCAAAGCTTTGATTCTTCTTAAGACTGAAGAGGTGGTACCGTTGAGGAAGGAATAATCGTTTCAGGAATAGGACGTATGTGGTGCATTTTTCCACTCCGTTTAATTGTGTCATTTGTCGCAAAGCTTTACGCAAGGTCAGAACACTTATTGATTAAATCTACAACTCTGTCAATCTGTGTCTGTATCGCAACTCAGTCATCGAGTTTCAAATGAAAGACAGAAAACTAAATTGAACGGTCAACTTCCGTTGGTCTGTCCACAAACAGCCGATCATCGAAAACGAAAAGTGCTCATTGTGACTTGTTCTTAGAACTTTTCAAGTAAGCTTGATTTGTACGATCTGTTAGGTGTGTATTGATGCTCAATCGATTGGTGGCAAACCCCAGTATCGGTTAATACGGATGGTACAAAGATTCACTGTCCCGTCACAAGATGCGTTCGAAACAAGCACTCAAACAAACAGATGGAAAAAGCTCTCATCGTTTCACGACATTCGGGTTTTTCTATCCACAGTGAAGTCTGCAAATCACGACTGATCAATGGTTTCAGTCTCATTACCTTAGTTGATTATCAGTCCTTGAGAATTTCTAGTCGCATTTCAAATAATGGTTCTGGCTGAAAGATAACTCATTGACAACTCTGGTGTTGTGCTGGAATCGCACAAGGCGGTTTCCGTCCAAGCATCAACAGTGTTTGTTGAGAAAATACCTTGAATATATTGGAGATGACTTCTATTTGAGTTATTTTCAACGAAAAATACTTTTCAGATGGTTTCTCTAGGTGAAGCGTCGAGTAATCGGTAGCTTTGGTCTGTTAATTGGTCATTGCTCAGATGAAGGCTGCTCCGTTTTGCACAACTCCTCAAAAGCGGACCAAAACATGACTCAGAATGTTGCCTAACCAATCGGAATAGCGATCGAATATGCCGAAAAGGCAACGAACCAATCGAAATTGAGGTATACGAATCACGACGCGACACACCTCACAAACGCATCAGTGAAGCTATGCGCAACCCGTCACTTATACTTCAGAGCTAAATAGACGCGTTAGGGCAGAGAGAAAGTTTATACTCTGGTGACAAAAAGTTTGCAACCTCTGGGCTCCCTTCTTTTCTAGAGGTTTTCACAAGTTTTTGATGAAATGACTAACGTCAAGTGTTTAGAAATGGTAGTGCTCTATTAGTTTCATATGATGAGTTGTATCATGATTGTTTATTTTCTATAGCCGGGCCAGAATGTGAACATTAAGAAATAACTGCTTTAGAGAGCTAGACTAATAGGTTATAAACGTGGACTTCTTTATTGGCAAAATATTTTGCGTTGCTTAATCGTATTTTCTAGCATCAGTATCTTTGACCCACACCACTCTGAGATTTACGTCCCAGTTCCTATCATTTTCAACCGTTTAAAAACCTAATTTAAAGTCAGTGCGTCTCATCTGGAACGCAAATTGTTCTGCCAAATGAAATGCCGGCGGCACGTTTGATCACTCTGCCCAACTCTCAAAACATACAACTACTCGGAATAAATTAAAATCGGTCCCTTGGGGACGGTTTATTTTTGTTTACTTTTGCATCACACACAAACGAACGATTAAATTGTGATCGCTGGAAATTGATTATACGTCTTGTTAATCCGCACGAAATGGCGTTCGTGACTGGCTTCTGCCTGGTAGAAGAGACCACACAACTGCCAGGTTCGATTATCATCGTGATAAATATCTTATTCGATATCGTGTTAACCAGTGTGTTCAGTTAGACTGACAGAAATTCGACATTGGCAGGTGCGTTCTGATTGGTTGCTTGTGTTCAGTATGACTCATCACTTTGCCCGAGGAATACGGTAGTGAAATTCAGGATGCCACCTTAAGTGAAAAGCTACCGCAGATAGAAAAATGGGTTCCTGAGTGACGTCACATGGGTCGTCGAAGGTTTTCGGAACACGAGAAGCAGCTATGTGAGAGACCACGAGACAGAGTGATGAATATCTTATTCGTTATCGTATTAACCAGTGTTATCAAAGAGACTGAGAGAAATCCGATATTGCAGGTGCGTTCTGATTGGTTAACTGTGTTCAGTATGACTCATCACCCTGCCTGAAGGACACGGTATTGAAATTCAGGATGCCACCTTAGAAAAACGGGTTCCTGATTCACATCACGCGGACCTTAGAAAGTTTGTTGAAGGTAATCCGAAAACAGTGGTGTGGGAGAAAATGAGTCTAAGTGATGGTTACCTGGCATTAGCATCCTTCAAGTGGCATAAACCAGGTGGGCAATGCGTGGGTTTCTGGATTTCCGGACATCTTCACGTATCTACGTGTGTGGCCAGTCAGCCCGTTTCAGGAAGGCTGCAACACGTGGCTCCTGAGCGACATAACGGTCGTAGTTAGATTCTCCTTTATGACTTTTGAAATTTGCTCTGTTGGTAGAGTGAGGAGATTTGGGATTTTTGTGGAGATTCCGTCCTCTAAGTGAAGCTATGTGACGCGTGATGTGGATCCCGTGATTGAAGGATTAGCGGCGCTATATCCTGTGTAAGTGCGAGTTAATCACGCTGCTGATCAGC